TTAAAGCCTTTTTTTTCTATATAAATGGAGTTTTAATATACTATGCATTTAGTTAAAAGGGTGGTGTTCACATTTTCTAGGACAGCTCGGCCTTCATCATTTGTCGTTATGCATGGTGTGAGACAGTTCTAAATTTGTTTGCAGAGTACAGATAAATTTAGGTAAGAACATATTGACGAATCCCAGATTTGTGCGTCAATTGTTCATACGCACAGTTTAAGCACGAAGGCCCAAATCCTGAAAACTGCTTGAGATCTGACAGGGAAGCACCTGTTGATGTGGTTTGCCATGCAGTCACTGCCACTTCCGGAAGCTCAGCATCCACAGACACTCGTACCAGACCTCCTTGTCAAGATGCCAACTACCCATGATGCTCCTCTTATGTTGTGGTTCATCCCCAACTAAGTGTGATATTCAAGCTGGATACAGATTCTGTTTGGTAAAAACGACATATTGCACATGCTGGCCTCTCTGTATTTTTACTATAGAGGGGATGTGTTGGCCAGAGCGAAGGGGAGGCCATCCAAATCATGCACAGCGGGGATTGCATATGTCACCACAAATGGTGCCGCAAAAAGCAAAGCATCAAATACTACTCTCTGCTCGAGGAAATGCGTACACGTGTGAAGAAAGACGGATGTGAAGTCAAGCGGAAATGATGCTGAGGCTGTTTCCCCAACTCCAGAGATGCCTGGCATCGCTCATCAGTGTCACTTCTTCTCCTCACTCCAAAAAGGGAGGAGGGCTTATTCATTCTGCTGTCCTCTTTGTTCACAGAGGAGCTATAACACGGTCTTTTTAAGGGATCATGACAGATACAGGAAGAACTTAAAACTGAATGCACGTCTAATTAATAAAACATGAAAAAGAAGAAGAAAATGCATCTGTATTAACAGGTTTTAATTACAGAGTAGCAATATCAGTTCACTGTGATGTGAGCTCATATTCATCCTAGCACGTGACACTGGTTTCTGAATGTTGTCCTGGATGTAAAAGACTGAATGTTGCTCAGGGAAATGTGCCTGTTTGCAATAGGAATCTCTTTAGAATAGTGTCCTGTCTGTCATTCATATTAATATTCTATATCATTCTCAGCAAATTCCATGATGAAATGATATAGTAACATTAAACACAGCCAGTAAATCAAGTGCTAGTAGTTGTACCTACATTAGCTATTATTAGTAATCAGTGCAAGTAAATCTGGAATCTCTTTAAATATAGAAATCCTCAAGTATCAGAAACTGAGACTCGGAGGCTGCCGGCAGAGAGAACAGCTGAGTAACCAACAATCAGGGACCTCAAAGGCTCTGATTACACATTCATGTTGTACACTGAGCTGAATGATATCAGAGAATAAAGTGACACTGACATGATGCATACTACAGCTTCTGTAAAAGCAAACATGAAAAAAGCTTCAGGTGGCAAATAATGATGAGGCTCTGGTTGCTGGGAGTGCAAGTGCAAGCCACGTGTTTGTGAGTGGCAACATTCCCACCTTTGTGTTCAGGCATTTTACGTATGTAAATGTGTGTTTCTCTAGAGACTCAAACATGTATCGTAAGGGCCTTCACTGAGCCTACACTACTTCTTCTTGGAACTCAAAGGTCTGAATGTGTTTATTCTGTTTTGCTATTTTATCCACACTGATATGGACCTATGTGTCTAAGGTCGACTCACATTATTTTATATTTATATCGTCTACAGGCTATTCCACACTATAAAGGGACAGTCGATGCTACAACTAAATTTTACCTGAACAAACAATTCAAATTATTAGAACGCCATATAAACTTGTAAAAAAATATATGCACATTAAATTATAAGAATTATAATAGCTATTATAATTAAAGTGAATCATTTAGGGAAAACACCAGCAATTTTGATAAAGAGATTTTAACTTTGAGGCTTGTGCGGAAGTTGAAGTATTGACAGAGACATTTGCTTAATGAAGACCTTTAAATCAGTGTAGTGTGAAAGCATATTGACCAGTCTATGATACACAGTACTTTATTGAGCCTCTCTGCTGGAGAAGATCTCCTGGGAATCACTCAAATCTCTTGTGTGTGTCTTCTGTTTATACAAGAGCAACAAGGCACAGCAGTGAGGAGAGATGTTCAGGGGAGCTTATCTAATGTCTGAGGTTTAAACACATACATTTCTTAATGTGGACTGGTGCAATCATTTAGGGCCTTTTTCTGCTTTGACTTTATCTTCTGTCCATGCCTCTTCGGTTACACTCAAATACACAAACAGACATGTTTGCCATCATAACATAATAATAATAAAGTACACAGCATACCAAAATCGATACACCCAAGTTAAAGGGACAGTTTATCTAATTGAAACATTTATGAAATCTGCCCGGCTGGGTCCGTGGCATGTGCAGCAACATGTTCTCTGTTTGTGGAATTGAGAAAGGCACTTCTTTGACACGCACAAACACACACACCCACACACACACACACACAACACTATGGGAGTGTGTGGCAGAGGGAGAAGACTAATGTACTTTATCAGAGAATAACAGAACAATTGCCTTCCAACCGGCAGCCTCTAAAAGGCTGTCATAACAACTAGTTTGAGAATAGACTCCGCACTCTGTGCTAACAGCAGCCTTAACAGCTACATCAGGAGTATGGCTTTTGGTTATGAAATGAAATGAGGACAGAGTGTCTGACATATCCACTTCTGCTTAAAAAGTCCTTTTTTTCTGCTTCTTGCAGTTCCTATCCTTACAGCGTGAGTCTGGCAGTAAAATGACGCTGTAACCTCAAGAAATACATGTGATACAAATAAATATAAAGGTTAAAGAATGTGTCTTAACTGTGTATCAATAATCCATGAGTGCGTGGACATTTACTTACTCATACCCAACAGGTTTAATACATCTATAATAATGGCTTAACACAACTCCAACAGCTGTGGAGGTTTGTTTTCCCAAAATACTGGATAAATTCAAACCTTGAAATTCAACTATTTAAATCCAGATATTTTCTGCAGACACAATGCAGCAGTCAGTCAGTCATCCGAGTTCAGATTTGGTTCTGAACAAATGTGAGCACTAAGAGACGTAAAGTACACATTTAAACATCTACACACATCGCAGTGCATTAGAAGCTCAGTGCTCTTCTTTAGTCTCACATTTCCCTACCTTGCCCTGATTCCACTACCAGCTCATTATGAGATGGGACCTGCTGATACCAGCAGAAACATCCAAAAGTGACAGGGCTGGGCACACACATGTGGGACGTTCATTATTTTCTCCAGAAAGCAGTTAGATAGACCATCAGTTTAATTAATAAAGAAAACTATGTTGGATTTGGTCTGTGCCCTCCTGAGTCATAACAGAATCCAGGTCCAGTCTACTGACACTTACCTCCTTACCGAGGTCTTCTCTGATGACCTGCCGGATCTGCTCCATGCTGCTCTGAGGGGCTCGGCTGTGAAGCACCTTCAGCGTGGATGTGTACTCCTCAGGCAGCAGGTAGTCCAGAGCACCGAGGTGCTGGCCTACCTTGATGAAAGTGCCACGATTGGCACAGCACAAATCTAGGAGACGCTCTGCTGACCGCCGGTGAACCTGCAGGCGATGGAACAGAGAAAAAAACAACACACCGTATATAAAATGGCACAGGGATGGTTAGGACAGGCTGGAGGGTCACTAAAATCAAAAGGAATTGTTCCCTTGGAAGAATGAGTGCACAAAACAACTTTCATGGCATTCTCACATGAGATATTACGTGCAACAATAGTTTGGTTTATATGAAAACAATTGAAGACACCATCATACCTGAACATGAAGCAACTCATGTTGTGTGCCGAACCTAAAACACACACTCGTCCCCCTGTGATCATAAATGAGCTAATATACTCAGTTACAAACCAGAGATTATTTGTCACATTATGTAAACATATTAGTCAGGCACAAGAAACACAAGTATTCACTTCATCAATGATTTTGATATTTTACCATTAAGTATGGTCTGAGGAGTCATGATCCACGCCCGTGTGTCCTTACATGCTCATTTGTGCCGCTCAATTTTTATAATCACGATTTGTCAAAATTGTAATCATGATTATTTAACACGTTTACTCTCTGACTTTGGAAGCATCACGCATTAATTGAATTTTTACAGAAAAACAAATTGTCGTCGCCGTGATCAGAGTGTCTACACTGCCTGAGTGAGCAGAGAAGAACTTCTCACTTGTCTGCAGGAGCGAGAAAGTGTATGTGTGTGTGTGTGTGTGTGTGTGTGTGCGTTTGTGTGTGTGCTTTTGCTCTTCACAGAATTGGTTACTTAAGTTATTGGTCGATGATTTTGGATGATGAATCCGGATCGTTCCGGTCACTTCAATCCTGATGACCTGGCTGTGCGCATCATGTTACCTCTCGTGTTGGTTGGCAGGTGAACTGCGTGTGAGCTAGCAAGATGTTGAATATGTATCTCATAAACACTACAGCAAATTAAACAAACATGATGTAAACCTCAAGAACTGTATAGCTGTAAACACTTCTGATTGGTGTTGGTGTTTATTGTTAATGTGTAAAGTGACTGCAGGTCCGCTGGGCAGTGAGGAGGGAGGACATGTGGTGTATAGGGCCTATAGTGTTCTTCTGCTGTAATCCTGAATTTAACTGAGTATATAGCCTTTTATTCTAGGAAATACAGTTGTTATAAAAATTACAAAGCAGAAACGCAGCAGAAAATACTGCCTGTGTGAACAGAAGATGACTGCGACATGCAAGCATGCGTCGCTCACACAGGCAGTGTGGCCTGGGTGTCATAAGGAAAGACAAAACAAGAGCCTCACTGCAAAATCAAAAGCAAGATAATAATACTTTTCTCTTGATTACTTTGTTTTCATAGTCATTGGAAGCAATAATCGGAACTGAAATTCAATTAATTACCCAGCCCTAACGGACAGTATGAAAAGGTAACTGTTAACTAGAAAGGATGGAAATTCTTTGGTTGTGATTGTATGTGACTTGTGTTTCAGTGATATGGAAGTTAAGGAAGAAGAGTCGTCTCTAACTGTTGTAAGGCCACACGCTATGTTTGCATTCTCAGGCACCTGATGAAGAGTCTCTCTTCTGTTTCTCCTCACATATCGCACCAATGCAAAAGCATCGTGAGCACAAACAGGTGTTGACACAATTACCACAACTTCTCACCCTGCTTATTGATGTGTTTCCCACTAATGTAAATGCACATGTCACTTTAGTCACCGTTGTTAAGTAGCCAGTTGAGCAGTGTCGGAAGTGTTAGAATCCTTAGAAGAGGATTTCAGCATTTTCACTTCCAGCTGGTTCGAATCGGAAACATGAAACAAGACCACCTCACCCCACAAATAAATATTTGTTTTTGTAGCTCTGCACCCAATTCTCACTTACATACGATGTATACACCGTTTACGTAACCAAATGAGGGCAATCAGATGAGACTGTGCCTGAGGTGATGGTGTGTGATGGTCCTGTCCCGTCTGTCCTACTCGAACCAGCTGGAAGTGATAATGCTTACAGAGAGCTCCTCTCCTGAGACCAGCGCAAATAAAAAGCCATGAAATTAGCTCCCCTTAACCTCTGTAACCCCACTACACACACACACACACACACACACACACACACACACACACACACACACACTCACTCCCAAAGGACATTTTGACATGAGTGTCATCTGGGCATTGATGACAATGCAATGACAGAAACAAGTCGCCAGAGATTACCAGATGAGCCTTTTCTCGAGGAAAACCATTTAAGCCACCTCCTCTGTGTTGGATCATAAGGAACACTAACGCTTTAAGTGGAACGAAACTTGAATGATTGCTGGGGCAGTTATTTATGCTAAAGATATTTTGGGATGCAAACTCGGACTCCTACCCAACTTCCGTTATAAAACCAAATACATCAAAAAAATCCAAACGACCAAATAATAACAAAATAAATAATACAGGAAAACATTTTCAATTAAGTCAATTTGAATAAATCATTTTTGTCATAAGGGCCACATAGGAAAAACACAATTCTGAGAAATACTGTTTTCAAAATGTATCTCACAATGCTGGTGATTTTAATTGTGTGTCAGAATCTAATTAATTGAGACAATTCTGACTTGAATCTTACACATTTTCCCCATTATTGGATTTTAAATAAACTAAACAATTCAATAACAATTGGATAAAAACAACTGTAACATAATGCAACATCTTTCCACACTAAACACTAAAACAAACACTGAAAACTTTAACTTTAAACCTCACTTGCACAGCCTAGTCATAATTCTGATTAAAACCAACAAAATGGTGACATTATAAATGCTGTTTTAAATGTAAAACTGCAAATCATTGTTATAGCAGTGTTTTTTTTTTTTTTTTTGTTATGTGTATGTTTCTCTGTGTCGCTGCATTATTTACAAGATTTACTCACTAAAGTCTAAGAGTTTACAGACTTGAGTAAATAATAATAATCATTATTATATCATTATGATGGATATTATTTTTAAGATATATTATAATTATTATAAATTTGTACACAACATTGGGGACATTCATTTGCAGTGTTACAGTAATTATATGTCTGGTCGTTGTAGCCTTTTTTCTGCCCGTTGAAGATTTAGTTTTGAACTGTAGAGAAATGTTGCATTTCTTGGCATACATCCTCTGTCGTGAAGATCAAGGTGGGTCTGTTAAGTACGGCTGATCAAAATATATCACTGACAAAAGAGACAAATAAACTCATCAATTATTTTGTCTTGGCTGTGTTCTATAATTTCTAAGTCCAATTAACAAATCAATGATTTGAACTAAGCACAGCCTCTGCCTCCAGACAGCCACATCACCTGAAGTCATGTCAGATCTATTTCTGGCAGACTGTATGGGAGCTGATTAGAGGCTCTGATCAGAATGAAAATCTGGCATCAGTTTGCCCACGGCTTGTAGCCTAATCATCAGATTCATCATCACTGCTCTCTCTCCCCTCTCCTTCAGTAATCAGTATGCTTTGTCCAATGGAGGTGGGCTCACAGCTTGAGGATGACATCACCATGGCAATGCTGCTCACTGACAGCCTGAGGGGACTGCTGCTCTGGGATAGGCTGATGCTGGCCACCACCCACCATCTCCACACACGCGGCATCCAATCAAATGGACCGTTAGTGAATTAGACACAGGGGTTAATTTGTGGTACATCACAGAGACACAGGAGCTCAGTGCAGAATGCCTCTGGGTATCTCTCCACTCATCCTCTTCACACAGTTGGCAAGGACAGTAAATAGAAGGCTAGATGTGTGTGTGTGTTTGTGTTTGTTTGTGTGTGTGTGTGTGTGTGGTTTACAGGGTGGTGTGTAATGGATGCTAGAGGGTGGAAGAACGAGGGAATGGCGGCTAGAAAGAGGAGACAGTTGAATAGAGCTAGGTGGAAGGGGAGAAGGGGAGGAAATAAGGAAACCTTGAAATGCTGTTACTATTCAAATGTAAGTAGTTAAACTTTGCAGCTATCTATCTATCTATCACAATGTTGATCACACCCATTCAATGGTCTGATAAGAGAGAAATCAGGTGTGAGCAGTCCCCTTATAGCCTCTGGACTACATTATGAATCAGAAATGCTCTTGATGGCCACTGTCTAGATAAATAACAGATAGACACGCACATCAGTCTTCTGCCTCCGTGAGAAAACACGTGAAAAACACAAGTTGTTCTCTGGTTTGGTGTCAGCAAAGAGCAACTATAACATAATTAACAAAACAAAACTTTTCAAACTTTATAAATGGTCAGATTACCATTCAAACATTGACTCATTTTGATGAATATCTAATGTGAAATCAAAGCCTGACTCATACATTATGAGCCAGTGGGTCAGTGCAAACACCCCCATCAGAGCTTTTAACTGTAATTAAGTAACACGGTTCATCAGAGGAATCAGATTACACACGTAATAAGCAACAAAAATCAACGCTATACTTATTCTGATCTCTACAGGCAATTTTGTGTGAGTCAGTTTTGGTGGGACTGGGTGGACTTATTTAAAACAACATGGAATAACCTCTCCTTTCATTCAGCTACTTCACTCTAGTTCCTTCTCATATACCTGACAAACAATGAACATTATCCAGAAGAAACCTTCTAAATTAGGTTTTGCATCCTCTAACCTGATTATAGAAACTAGATGTCTTACATGACAGTTAATGTATCATTTTATTAAAGACTGTAACATGGTTACTTTAAGGCAGGCCATGGCGAAAAACATCTCAAACCACCACCCTTAAATCCATCTCTGGCTTAATTTACTTCTAAGAAAACAATGAGGAGCCATCCCTATAAATAAGCCTCATCCACTACACAGTCTCAAAGGCCTTTAAGGTCATCAACATTAACGTTAACATGAGAGTTAACATCTTGTCACATGGGTAAGTTGTCACATTGTTGATATCTTCACCTCTGGAGGGCGATACTTAAAAGTTGAACACTAGATTTGTGTATCTGCTTCGTCTGATGTCATATCCGGTCTGGGAAAAAGCAAGGCACGCTGGCCCTGTACACACCTGGTGTTAACATGTGGTTCTCGTGACCGCAACACAA